CTTCCAAGTTGTAAAGTTTGTTTTCTACATAGTGTCTTACACATCTCATTGTTACAGTGGGTCATCCTGTATCCTTGTTTCAGCATTTTGTTATTTCCCTTCCCCTCCCCAAATTAGAAAAATGTATATACAAGATGCGGGTTTGAATTACAAATCATTTGGCTGGAAGACTGTCCCTAGGCACTGTCATAGGACTTCTACTTCCATACTTACTCTTCAGTCTTTCACTTGAATGTGATCAGTGCCACTTCCCTGAGAATAATGTTTCTTCTGCAATTACTATGGTGGTGGTTTTGTATAGATAGGTTAACATGAATAGGCCTCCAATATTGAGATAGATGATGCTGGGAACCTTTCTTTAGACAAGGACTGAAGCCTATTTTGCCTTTTCTTATCCTAGACTTGCCCATTCCAAGTTTCCTTTCCCTGTATCCTGAGCAGCTGCTTAAGTACCAGCAAGCCATGTGACCAAAACAGTGAGGATTAATGTACAAATTGAAACTGCATCTCTTCTAATCTATGATGACAGTTTGTACTTATCAGGTTAATGAGGATAATTTCTCTTTGGCTTGTACAGAGACATGAAAATTTAATCTGATTTGCTATTAATTACTCTGTCCAATCATTAACATAATGTTTTACTAAATAGAGAAAATCTAGTCACAATGCAGAGGCAAGTGTATCAACCGAAACACAGTAATAGAAAAGTATTGCCTTTTGATTTCAGCAAGGAAAGTGTGTAGCAGGACGTGCACTTTGACATGTTTCTCACTATTAGTGATAGGATGCCCAGAGCCATTACACTGTCTGCCAGTTCCCTCTTGGGAATGGCACACATTTGTAAGATGATTGGCAGAGGATCCTAGAGTACATTGTGATTTGGGAAACAGTAAAACTAATTGGACCACAAAGAGATTAAATAACATCTTGAGTGAGAGCAACATAATGCTTTATCAAACAAATGAAATAACTTCAGATGGCTCTTTTTCATTCATTTATTAGCAAGTATTCATTAAACAATTAATATGAAGAGCTGTGCTCAGTGCTGGGAAATGAAGTACTCAAACAAAGCTGACACAGATCCTATTTTTGTGAGGTTTATAGTGCTGGTAGGAAAATATATGTATATATTACAGATATATGATATATATAATATATTTGTATATATACAATATATTGTATAGATATTATGTATTATATATGTGTTATATATTATATAATATTGGAAACATTTATATGAAATATTTTATATAGTATATATGCATTATATATACACAATATATTATATAATTATTTATAATAAGTAAGATATAATTGTATAATAAATTATTTGTATCACTATATATACATATATATTCAATGTATATTATAGATAATAGTGTGCAGTATATATGCATGGGAAACATGTCTATTATATTCATATAATTATTTATTTGCAATAGTGAAAATTCTGTAATGAAAAAGATATCTTAAGGTCATGTCACAGAATCACTGGATGATATCCAAAGAATTGGCCAAGTGAAAAGAGGGGTAGATAAGAAAGGGGAAAAAGAATGAATTTGTGGTGAAATGAACCCCCAGATAAGGACACAAGTGTTATTTTTCTTTCTTGCTATTGTTTCTAACATATTTTAAGGTGATTTTTTTGTTGCTTTGTATGTCCCTCTCCCACGGTATAACCCCTGTGTAGTTATAATTTGGGGAGGGGAAGGGAAAAAACCAATTGTTTAAATAGAGAAACAGGTAGAGCCATTGTAACAATGAGATGTACAAGATGCTATCTTGAAAAGCAAACTTTACAACTTTGGTGGGGGTGGGGGGATGGGGAGTGTAGTCATAGAGATGGGAGGGCAGGGATGGTAGGGGAAAAACAAAGGAGGAGGCAACAATGCTTGATAAGAAATGCACTAATTACCTTGCTCATGTAATTGTAACCCTTCTGTATGGTATTTTCACAATCAAAAGCTTATTAAAAAACAAACAAAAAGATATGCAAGTTCTGAGTGGCTAAGGAGGTTTCAGAAATTTAGTCAAGGAGAAAAGTAAGGAAGAGGTAATAGATGAGATTTAGCCAGGATTTATAGTTTCATAGGTCATGAAAGGGTTGTAGGTGGACATGTCTTTGTGTGTTGTGACAGGCAATATTGGTCATTACCACATAGCATTTGCACTTTATTCTAAGGCAATGGGAAGTTGGAGGTTTCTAGGTTGAGTTCAACTTGGGATAGTAGGTATTTTTAAAAATTTCCCAATAGCCAACACGCTCAAATATTTTTCACCTTTTTCCAGAACCACTCAATTAAAAAAATAGTATGGGTGGAATAGATAAAGAATTTTCACCATGTATCTGCACGAAAGGCTAAGAAGAATCCCTAAGAGACAAAAAAGTAATTATACTTCTACTCTAGATCCATATTTTAACCACAAGGAGTGTGTTCTCTGTGTTCCATTTCATAATTGAGGGTAATTACAAGAAGTTAAAACTAGATTAGAGACAATTAGGCCCTATACAACAGGGAACTCTGTGGGTTGTGGGGAAGGGAGTAGGAAGAAGCAGCTGGGAAAGTGTTTCACAAACTGTTTGGCATCTTTTGACTCATCTTGTAAGTATAGTTTTTTGTATCTGTGCTCCTGGTGTCCCTTTCTATGTAGAGAGGACAGGCAGATGAAATGAGGTAAAACTACATATCACCAATAGCCAATAAAAAGCTTCATAGGACCAAAACCAATAAATGAGTACAACGAAGAAAGGTAGGTGGTGAATATGTAATGATTTGATTGAAAATACCTTATTTGAATAGCTACCTTTTCTCACCCTCTGGCGCTAGATACTTTGAGTAAGATAGGGAGATTAATTTAAGAAGTTTCCAAGTCTATATGAGTAGTTTGATGTGGCAGAGCACAAAGTGAAAGAAGAGGAATGGTGAGAGCTTTTTCAAGAACTAGTAGAGACATAGTCCATTAAAAACAACAACAGCAAAGAAAAACCTCTTGTGCCCATGTCTTGGAATTCATTTTGCTTAGCATCATGTTACATGGTCATATATACATAGCTATTGAGCTATTCTGCTCATCTGCTAAGATTATTATCCTAGATGTATAGTAATTATTGCAAATAAGGGATACCATGGGATCTATGTTTCTTTGGGTCTGGCTTACTTAATATGATTTTTTCCAAGTCTTGGCCCTATGGTTCATTGCCTGTTGTCACTGTATTTGATTTTGGTATCCAGGTATTGTATATACATTTATCTGAATTGGGGAAGAGAAAAGGAACAACAAAATAGAGACAAAGGACAAGAATGCAAGAGCAATAGTCACAAGACAATATATTGGAAATGATCTGTATAACTTGGGAGGGATGGGGGAAGGGAAAGTGGGAGAAAAATGAGGGAAGAAATGTACTGATTACCTTACTTGTGTAATGTAAGCCTCTGTACATCACCTTGACAATAAATAAATAAATATGTACATTGAAAATAAAAAGAAATAGTAAAGGCAAATCTCAGAAGCTCCCACTCCATCCCTTGGATAGGGGGAAGCATGAAGGATAATAAATAAGGAAATGATAGGGCTAAATTCAGACTCTAAAAAGAACCATCTACTCACTGTGGGAAAGAAAGATATGGGGATGGAACGGAAAGGAAGAAGGTTGGGGCTGTTCAGTTGGAGCTACCTTTGGAGGGAAGCAACAGTACCTGTGACCATGAGAAGGGGCCTGGGAAGGAAAGATCACAGTAATCAGGAAAATAATGACTTCATGACTCATTTTACTTTATCTAGCTCACATGCATATTTTGATTAGTCATTGGTTCATTTAATCAACAAATAATTATTTTGTGTCTACTGTGTGTGGAACACCATGCTAGGAGAAATTAAGAAGAATAAGGATAGCATTATTGCAGTGTTTGAGAGACTTGATTAACTGTGCAAGTGAGTGGAACAGTCTATAGCTCCTCTAGGATGTTAGAGATGGTTTTGTTCAATAGAGAGGCAGATGATCTAGGAAACAAGATGAAAGGTAGCAGCTAGAATGTACACAAACCCAAGGAGAGGCACATTGAAGGACCCTTCTGATCAGAAACAAATGGGAACAAGGGTAACAGGAAGTACTATAGGATGGGCAGAATGTTATGACTATGCATACATGTAGGTGTGTATGTGCATATACATATAGACAAAAGTATTAACACCAACAGATATTTCTATCATTACCATACACAGAGAAAGCAAAAGTAAAACAGGAAGAGGACACCTTTGCTGAATCAAGCTGGAATTTTATTATTGCCATGTAATTATTTACATATACAAAATTAATTATATAAGTAGATGCACAAAATAATGAATTTTATATATACATATAACTTACTTTCATCATATTCACACCACCACTACTATCCCTTCCCCCCTTCCCCAAGACTCTTTTTCTCTAACAGTCCCCCTTCCAATTCATGTCTCCCCAATCCATCCCCTTGTTTCCACATATGACTAAACCATGTGATATAAGTCTTTCTGAATCATATTTCATTTAACATGATGACATCCAGTTTCATCCATTTTCGTGCAAAAAACCCCATAATCTTGTTCTTCTATAGGGTGAACTGATACTTTATTGTGTATATATACCACATATCTTTATCCATTGATCAGTTGCTAGGCACCAAGGCTGATTCCATATCTTGGCTATTGTAAATAGTCAAGTTGGGCCTTTCTAATTTCCCCCTCCCCCTTCAGACGCATATACCTGTGGTGATATAGCTGGATGGAGACACATGTATCTTGACAAACTTTACTCTTAGAATGAACTTGGAGGACCTTAGGTTGTAGGACTTGGGGGAGGGTCCCTGCTCTGCTGGCCATTTCCATTGAAAGAGGGAATGGTAGTGATCTGAACCTCCAAGTTCTTAGCCTACTGGCTGGCCTCCATTAAAGAAGCCCAGCTTGCTAAAACACAAGATTCCCTAGGGATAGTGAGGGCTGCTAGCTCACTTGGCATATGACTATTGACTCAGGAGTCTCTTCACTGCATTTTTAACATCCTTGTTTCTCAGGCTGTACACAATGGGATTGATCATGGGGGTGACTACAGTGTAGAGAAGTGAGAAGATCTTGTTTAGGGCAGCAGTTTGGGTTGCTGTGGGAATGGCATACACTGTTCCTAGAGTTCCATAATACAAAGTGACCACAACGAGGTGGGAGGAGCAGGTGGAGAAAGCTCGTTGCTTTCCTGCTGCGGATGGAATCCTGAGAACAGCAACCACAATATGAACATAGGAAGCTATAGTGAGTAGAAAGGGCACCATCGTGACAACGGAGGCCATCAGGAAAGTAGTCATTTCCACTGTCCCAGAATCAGAACAAGCCAGCTTCAGCACAGGGGCCAAGTCACAGAAGAAGTGATCAATTTCATAGCCTGCACAGAATGATAACTGGAAAGTCATGGTGACAGTGACCACAGGAGTTAGGAAGCCACCCAGCCAAGACCCACCTGCAAGCATGACACATGTGTAGATATTCATGAGAGATGGGTAGTGGAGGGGGCTACAGATAGCGAGGTAGCGGTCATAAGACATGGCTGCCAGCAGAAAGCACTCAACTACTGCCATGGAACCAAAGAAGTAAAACTGGGCCACACAGGCAGCAAAGGAAATCGCCTCCGGACCCAAGAGGAGGGTCTTTAGCATCTTAGGAGTAATGGAAGTAGTGTACCAGATCTCAAGGAAGGAAAAATTGGACAGAAAGAAGTACATGGGGTTTTGGAGGCTGCGGTCACTGCAAATGACTGTAAGAATGACAATGTTCCCCATCAAGGTCACCACATAGATACCCAAAAATAGTCCAAAAAGTAAAAACTGTAACCCATTCAGACTCCCAAATCCCAGAAGGAGGAATTCTTTGATCATGGTCAGATTACCCATATCTGTGAGACTCAAGCACCATATCTGAGAAAAAGAAAGAAATATAGTCAATTGATAAAAAAAAGGTAATCATGAAGGTGAATGATAGCGCAAGAAATACCATCCAGTACACAGCTCAACTTTCTCTTCTTCCCTGAAATACATTTTCTATTGTTCAATTAGGCATATTTACCTAATAGTTTTAGAGGAAACAGAAGCTTCTGCCCGGAATGGTGGCCAGAGAGGTAGCACCTATGCTCCTTTCCACTCATCCCCTTGAAAAACTAGTGATAAATCTATCTTTTGGAGTCCCTCAGTGACATACAAAACACCTCCTAATGAAGACATGGTACAGAAGCATTTCTGAGCTGAATATTGCCTAAAGTTTGGAAGCTCAGCTTTTAAGACTCAATAGAAATGCAAACCCCAAATCCCAAAGTAATGTTGGAAATCAGGCAACTCCTTCTCCTATTGAACCCTCAAATTAGGGTGGGTTTCATATAACTCATTCTTGGAAGGTAGGAGGGAACTTCAATTTATTGTTTTGAAAGTACCTGTAAGAGAAACAAGACTTTCTGCCAGGCTCTGGGGATATGTGGTTGATTGCTTCCATGGCATCAAATTCCTATGGAAATTGGGGGGAGGGAAATGTATGCAAAGTTATTCACTTGAAATGTTAGAGAAAAATAATGTTTCATCCTTTATAAATGAAAATGACATCCCTGAGTCACAAGCAGTAAGATGTGCATTTAGAGGTTTTTTTTGTTGCTTCCAGTAGCAAAGATGGTTTAGTGAGTCATAGGGCTGCAGCTTCCCCTTCCTCACATGCCTTCTGTGGTGTTTCAAAGACCCATATTTGTCAGGTGACTGGTTGCTGCCAGTGCCTGGTCCTAAGAGATTGGTCTGGGCCATAGCCTAAAGTAAGGGTGTAAGGCCAGAGGTAGATAGAAACTTGATACAGCCAGTGCTCAAGGCTGAAAATCCAGTCTTGAGGCCAGGAAATAAAGCAAAGCCAACATTGTTGCTTTGCTTTGGGCAAGGATAATGTCCTGCTAAAAGGTTACAGATAAATCATAATTTTAATGTGAAATCTTAGGTTAAATATACTCAAGGACATAGCTGTTCAAAGGAATCTCATTAAGAATGCTTCTGTGATATGAAAGAACCAACCCTATACTTTCCCCTTGCACCAATCAAAAGTGTTAGTGCACTGGATTTGTGTAAGGAACAATCCACTTCTAATGAAGGGATCCAGGGCACTGGGGGCTGTGTGAGGTAGTAGTGCTTATGGTTACAGTGTATAAAGAAAATCAATTTTTTTTTGCTATGGAAGGTTTTTATTTGGCCTTCAGTTATGAAGGAGAGTTTAGCTGGGTAGAGTATTCTTGGTTGATAGTTGTTTGTTTTTAGGGCATGGCATACATCATGTCGGAGGGGGGGGGAGGGGGAGTATGATTGGGTGGGGGGAGGGGGGAGGCTGGGAAGGGAGGTGAAGGGTAAACAAAGGAGGAGGCTGCAATGCTTGGTAAGAAATGTATGCATTATCCTGACCATGTAATTGTAACCCCTCTGTACAGTATGTTCTCAAATAAAATAAAATAAAATTAAAAAAAAAAAAAAAGAAAATCAATCAGCAGCTAAGGTTGTCCCTGGGGGTGACATCTGCTTCCTAATTGGGGATTAAACTGCAGTGTCCTTTTACTATTTTACCTTGTCTTCGGAGACTGCCAGCTAGTATTCAGAACCAACATTAACATCATTAGATTTTTATCATTCTATCCCAAGTCTCATTAATTAGTAATGGAATAAACTCAATATTCCCCTTTGGCTGACAAGTGTGTTCCTTGGTGCTTCCAAATTCAAAGGAGCCTATCTTCTCTAACTCCTCCTCCATTCTCACATATATTAGAATGAGGAGAATGTGGAGAAATTAGTGTAGATACATAAGAGAGGCTTCACTTCAGGAAGTCTCACTTTGTTCATTCATTCATTCATTCATTCACCATAGGTCTTTGGACACATATATATTGGGATAGGTAGGCACAAGGAATAAGACCACAAACATGAAAGGCATGGGTTCAATGTTATCTTGAGTTTACTTTGTAGTGGTAGTAGACATTAAGCATGATTTTACAAATATATGTGAAATTATTATTACAATAAATGCTTGAAAGAGAAATAGAGGGTTGTGTTGTTCTTGTTTTGAGATAAAGCATTGCTACATAGTCTACATTAGCCTTGTATTCACTACATAGCCAATGGTGGCCTCAAATGGGCAATTCTGCTGTTTCAGCCTCCCAAGTGCTAGATCATACGCAAGCACCCACTACGCTTGACTTAAAGATTAATAATACATTTTTATGCTTTTTCCATTGCTGTATAGCTTTAATCTTGACCTTCAATTATCCAGAAAAGGCATTGTACATGCTAGACAAGGGATCTACCACAGAGGCACATCACCTGTCCCAAATATATGGTCTTGATATAAAGAATAGTTTACGTGGAGAGGTGACTTGGTATTGTGAGATAGTTAGGGAAGGTGACTTTGGGGAAAAAGTCATATTTAAGCTCAGATACAATAGATAAGAGATAGCCAACTACAGGGGAAATACTATAGGGAAAGTGGAAAATCTGGTGTAGAAAGTAATGCATAAGAACTGTTAACCAAGATATGGTGGCCAAACTCAAGCTGGGATAGAGTATGATGGATAGATTTTAGTACTTTTTACAATACAAGCCTAAAGCATCTTTTTGTGTTGCTTTGTATGTATATCATAATTTGTAAGCAGTTTAACAAACGACATGGGCTGCAAATGAATTTTATTAGGAAAGAGCTTGATTATAAAAAGGAATTGAGGATGAATTTCAAGGTTACTTTTTTTTCTCAGCAACTGCATCATCTATGACCATACCTTTTCTCGAGATGGAAAGATCAAGTGTGTAATTTAGTTTGAGAGGAAATTCTCTTTTCTTTTTCTTTTTGTTTTTTCTCATCTTCTTTTTTCCTTTGTTTTCTTCTCTCTTTCTTTTATCCTTCCTTCCTTCCTTCCTTCTTTTTTACCCTTTTCTTTCTCTCCTTTGGTCACATCTAGTGGATTATCTTTTGCCATGACAGTTTCTATTCTCATCTGGGTCAGTAACCAGTTACCAAGAAACAGAGCCCGGAGAGACAGAGCTCTTACTATGGCCACAAAATAAGCTATTAAGTAAAATCTTGCCCTTGATTTTAAAAAATGAGGAAAGAGGGTGGATAGGTCAATATAACCTTTACTCACCCCAGAGAAACTGCTCAAAGCCCACGGATATTAACTGCATACTAGAAATATTTTTTAACTTATAGAGCTCCAGAAAGCACAATTCAAGGGGGACTGTCATATCTCCACTTATATGAGTATCTGAAAAATCTTTCTTAATGACAATCCAACTACCCAGACCTTTCAGTTACCTTAGGGGCTTGGGTGTTTTGTTTTGTTTTGTTTTGTCCAAATCTCTTTTGCTTCAATTTTCTTTTGCTTGAGGAGTCAGATAACAATAAAATGACCTCAGTCAAACTACTTAAAGATAATAAAAATTTTAAAAAATAAAATGACCTCAGACAAGAAGCAATGTTCAGGAACAATCCTGGATTAGAATGCTTTCAGTCCTACTCTTTTTCTCTTTGCCATCATACATATTTTGTTCCAATCAGAATTAATGCTCAACATAATAAACAGAGGTTCAGAAAGATCTCCAATCAGTAAAGAGTGAGTCAAGAATATTATTATACTTTATTTACTAAGTAGAGAGAGTGGATTCAGATATCTTAATGGAGTTTTTTTTTAAGAAAACACAATGGAGAACAGCTTTAATCTTGACCTCCAATTATCCAGAAAATTAAACTAATGATATCTCCTCCACCACTTTCTGCTGGCAGTCTCTTTATCAAAGTTTGTCTCATTATTACTTTTTCTATGTCATAATCACCAAAAAAGGTATTCATGAACATGAAAAAATGATTGGTGGACAATGTAAAATGAAGTTCCCCAAATTTAGGTCCACCACCAGCTAGAATGTTAATAGTTGGACATGATCACCAATTGAAAGTTTAGCAAGATGAGTGAGGAATGAAAGGCTAGTCATAGAAGTGCAAAATCATTATCTCTTCTAGAATTAATACAGTTCTCTTTCTTGGAAAAAGGGAGGAATGTACTGTCTGAGAGGGTAAGTGATGATGTAGGTAGGCCATACAGGTACCTAGTGTTTTCCTTCCCTTGCAAACCCACCTCTATTGATAAATATGTAATTAAAAAAACAAATACATAACATTTAAGCCTGCTGTTAAACCTTTTCCTTCCGAACATGTAAATGGCTAATAACAGTGGCAGAAATCAAGGCAGTTTGATGAAGATCACCTTGGTACCCTAAGCCTTATAATTTAGGGCAAGCCTCATCCCAAATACATATTAACCTGCTGCTGAACATGATACTTGAGATAGATAAGAACAGAAAAACTACCCAGAGATAGTCTTTGAGAGAGAAGTGAAGAGAACAAACCTTTGGTAGTATACGAGCTGTACTCTCAAAAAGAGGAAGTTGATTATTTTGCTCCACTCTCTCAAAAAGTATTGCTTTTCTCTAGTAATTGAATTTTGTGCTATTCAGCAGACAATTTTGAAGGAAGGTTACTTTTTCTTTTGAAAACAACTTGTGGAACATTATAACAGCTCACTTTTAAAAGGAATTATACATTAATACTCAAAATCCCCTGGTGTCCAGGCAATGATTTTCTTATTTGTGTTTTTGCACCTTGAGACCTGGAGAGAGGCATTGCTGAGATGCCTCAGACAAGCTTTATTAAGACCTTGAAACAAACTAGGAGATAGGCATTATTGAGACCTGGTGACAGATATTTCTAATACAACTGTGTTCTTTGGTGCCACATACTTTTTTTTCTGCTCTGTTCCATTTGTCAACATGACAGACAACGCAACAGTCCAGGAAATATCTTGGATGAAATGATATGTGATGTACCTACCATACCT